ACCTCTCCCTCAACGTGATCAAGACAAAGGAGACGATTGTGGACTACAGGAAAAAGAAGAGGACCGAGCACGCCCCCATTCTAATCGATGGGGCTGTAGTGGAGCAGGTTGAGAGCTTCAAGTTCCTTGGTGTCCACATCACCAACAAACTAACATGGTCCAAGCACACCAAGACAGTCGTGAAGAGGGCACGACAAAACCTATTCCCCATAAGGAGACTGAAAGGATTTGGCATGGGTCCTCAGATCCTCAAAAGGTTCTACAGCTGCACCTGATTGGTTGCATCACTGCCTGGTGTGGCAACTGCTCGGCCTCCTACCGCAAGGCACTACAGAGGGTAGTGTGTACGGCCCAGTACATCACTGGGGCCAAGCTTCCTGCCATCCGGGACCTCTATACAAGGCGGTGTCGGAGGAAGGCCCAAAAAATTGTCAAAGACTTCAGCCACCCTGTGGTGGTGTCACATTGTCTTTATCCATACCATAGTTGCTGCTATAGATATGCCTTTTACTTGATAGCTCTGTCCTCTTTGCAAGGTCTCCCTTGACAAATGATTTGATTTTAACTGTGTGCGCTCTCACTAGATAGAATTGTGTGGTTCGTGGCAGACTTTCAAAAGAAAATAGACATATACTGTATATCATCAGCAATTCTCAATCAGATGAGACACACAGCTAACCCAAATTGAATTTCATTCATTCATAAATGTGGACACTAATTATTGTTAATATTCCAATTCTCTAGGCCCTCATTTAACATTTACATTTAAGTCATTTAGCAGACGCTCTTATCCAGAGCGACTTACAAATTGGTGCATTCAACTTAGGATAGCCAGTGGGACAACCACCCTTTTTTTATGAGGGGGGGTAGAAGGATTACTGTTATACTATTCCAGGTATTCCTTAAAGAGGTAGGGTTTCAAGTGTCTCTGGAAGGTGGTCAGTGACTCCGCCGTCCTGGCGTCGTGGGGGAGCTTGTTCCACCAGTGGGGTGCCAAAGCAGCAAATAGCTTTGACTGGGCTGAGCGGGAACTGTGCTTCCGTAGAGGTAGGGGGGCTAGCAGGCCAGAGGTGGATGAACGTAGTGCCCTCGTTTGGGTGTAGGGTCTGATCAGAGCCTGAAGGTAAGGAGGTGCTGTTCCCCTCACAGCTCCGTAGGCAAGCATCATGGTTTTGTAGTAGATGCGAGCTTCAACTGGAAGCCAGTGGAGTGTGCGGAGGAGCGGGGTGACATGAGAGAACTTGGGAAGGTTGAACACCAGACGAACTGCAGCGTTCTGGATAAGTTGTAGGGGTTGAATGGCACAGGCAGGGAGCCCAGCCAACAGCGAGTTGCAGTAATCCAGACGGGAGATGACAAGTGCCTGGATTAGGACCTGTGCCGCTTTCTGTGTAAGGTAGGGTCGTACTCTGCGAATGTTGTAGAGCATGAGCCTGCAGGATCGGGTCACCACTTTGATGTTGGCGGAGAACAACAGGGTGTTTTCCAGGGTCACACCAAGGTTCCATGCACTCTGGGAGGAGGACACAATGGAGTTGTCAACCGTGATGGCGAGATCATGGAGCGGGCAGTTCTTCCCCGGGAGGAAGAGCAGCTCCGTCTTGCCGAGGTTCAGCTTGAGGTGGTGATCCGACATCCACACTGATATGTCCGCCAGACATGCAGAGTTGTGATTCGCCACCTGGTTATCAGAAGGGGGAAAGGAGAAAATGAATTGTGTGTTGTCTGCGTAGCAATGATAGGAGAGACCATGTGAGGATATGACAGAGCCAAGTGACTTGGTGTATAGAAAGAATAGGAGAGGGCCTAGAACTGAGCCATGGGGGACATCAGTGGTGAGAGCACGTGGTGCGGAGACAGATTCTCGTGACGCCACCTGGTAGGAGTGACCTGTCAGGTAGGATGCAATCCAAGAGTCAGCAGCGCCGGAGATGCCCAACTCGGAGAGGGTGGAGAGGAGGATCTGATGGTTCACAGTATCAAAGGCAGCAGATAGGTCTAGAAGGATAAGAGCAGAGGAGAGAGAGTTAGCTTTAGCAGTGCGGAGAGCCTCCGTGACACAGAGAAGAGCAGTCAGTTGAATGACCAGTCTTGAAACCTGACTGGTTTGGATCAAGAAGGTAATTCTGAGAGAGATAGCAGGAGAGTTGGCGAGAGACGGCACACTCAAGAGTTTTGGAGAGAAAAGAAAGAAGGGATACTGGTCTGTAGTTCTTGACATCGGAGGGATCGAGTGTAGGTTTTTTGAGGAGCGGTGCAACTCTTGCTCTCTTGAAGATGGAAGGGACATAGCCAGCGGTCAAGGATGAGCGAGGTGAGGTAAGGGAGAAGGTCTCCGGAAATGGTCTGGAGAAGAGAGGAGGGGATAGGTTCAAGCGGGCAGGTTGTTGGGCGGCCGGCCGTCACAAGTCGCAAGATTTCATCTGGGGAGAAATAAGTCAAAGCATAGGGTAGGGCAGTGTGAGCAGGACCAGCAGTGTCATTTGACTTAATAAAGAGGATCGGATGTCGTCAACCTTCTTTTCAAAATGGTTGATGAAGTCATCCACATAGAGGGAGGAGGGAGGGGGAGGAGGAGGAGGATTCAGCAGGGAGGAGAAGGTGGCAAAGAGCTTCCTAGGGTTAGAGGCAGAGGCTTGACATTTAGAGTGGAAGAAAATGTAGAGAGGAGGGAGTGAAAAGTCTTGTTTTCCTCCATTTCCGCTCGGCTGCCCGGAGCCCTGTTTTGTGAGCTCGCAATGAGTCGTCAAGCCACGGAGCAGGAGGGGAGGGCCGAGCCGGCCGGGAGGATAGGGGACATAGAGAGTCAAAAGATGCAGAAAGGGAGGAGAGGAGGGTTGAGGAGGCAGAATCAGGAGATCGGAGGGAGAAGGATTTAGCAGAGGTTAGAGATGATAGGATGGAAGAGGAGAGAGTAGCGGGAGAGAGAGAGCGACGGCACATTACCATCTGAGTAGGGGCAGAGTGAGTAGTGTTGGAGGAGAGCGAGAGAGAAAAGGATACAAAGTAGTGGTCGGAGAATTGGAGGGGATTTGCAATGAGATTAGTAGAAGAACAGCATCTAGTAAAGATGAGGTCAAGCGAATTGCCTTCCTTGTGAGTAGGGGGGGGACAGTGAGAGGGTGAGGTCAAAAGATGAAAGGAGTGGAAAGAAGGAGGCAGAGAGAAATTAGTCAAAGGCAGACGTAGGGAGGTTAAAGTCACCCAGAACTGTGAGGGGTGAGCCATCCTCAGGAAAGGAACTTATCAAGGCGTCAAGCTCATTGATGAACTCTCCAAGGGAACCTGGAGGGCGATAAATGATAAGGATGTTAAGCTTGAATGGGCTAGTGACTGTGACAGCATGGAATTCAAATGAGGAGATAGACAGATGGGTCAGGGGGAAAAGAGAGAATGTCCACTTGGGAGAGATGAGGATTCCTGTGCCACCTCCGCGCTGACCAGATGCTCTCGGGGTATGCGAGAACACATGATCAGACGAGGAAAGAGCAGTAGGAGTAGCAGTGTTTTCTGTGGTAATCCATGTTTCCGTCAGCACCAAGAAGTCGAGGGACTGGAGGGTAGCATAGGCTGAGATGAACTCTGCCTTGTTGGCTGCAGAACGGCAGTTCCAGAAGCTGCCGGAGACCTGGAACTCCACGTGGGTCGTGCACGCAGGGACCACCAGATTAGAGTGGCAGCAGCCACGCGGTGTGAAGTTTTTGTATGGCCTGTGCAGAGTGGAGAGAACAGGGATAGACAGACACATAGTTGACAGGCTACAGAAAAGGCTACAATAATGCAAAAGAGATCGGAATAAAATTAACTAAACATCTGGAAAAGCGAGAGAGCGGGGCCTCCCTCACTTACCTTTCACTGAAACACTCAAATATAACTCTCCCAACTTCCACTTTAGAAATTATAATTGTTGTAAACTAGAGCGTTTCAATGTTTTCTAGGAATAGACTCTAACTTAGTTTATTGAGCTAGCTAACTTGGTACAGTATTCTTCTGTGAAAACCGCCCAGGGCACCGTATCCAATGACACCATAGCTAACTTGCATGCTAGCATCCAATAACACACGGTTTAGCACCAATAATTCATTACAACAAACTACCAATAGTGTGTTAACACACTAAACAGATCATTCGTGTCCGTGTCTAGTTCCTTTCATAACGCAGAAATAATTAAACGTTGGCTAGCTAGCAATGGCTGCGGTGTTGACTTTGTTTGAGAAACGGCGTCGCTGTGAACGAATGTACAGTGGGGAGAACAAGTATTTGATACACTGCCGATTTTGCAGGTTTTCCTACTTACAAAGCATGTAGAGGTCTGTAATTTTTATCATAGGTACACTTCAACTGTGAGAGACGGAATCTAAAACAAAAATCCAGAAAATCACATTGTATGATTTTTAAGTAATTAATTTGCATTTTATTGCATGACATAAGTATTTGATCACCTACCAGCCAGTAAGAATTCCGGCTCTCACAGACCTGTTAGTTTTTCTTTAAGAAGCCCTCCTGTTCTCCACTCATTACCTGTATTAACTGCACCTGTTTGAACTCGTTACCTGTATAAAAGACACCTGTCCACACATTCAATCAAACAGACTCCAACCTCTCCACAATGGCCAAGACCAGAGAGCTGTGTAAGGACATCAGGGATAAAATTGTAGACCTGCACAAGGCTGGGATGGGCTACAGGACAATAGGCAAGCAGCTTGGTGAGAAGGCAACAACTGTTGGCGCAATTTTTAGAAAATGGAAGAAGTTCAAGGTGACGGTCAATCACCCTCGGTCTGGGGCTCCATGCAAGATCTCACCTCGTGGGGCATCAATGATCATGAGGAAGATGAGGGATCAGCCCCTGTAGCTGGCTAGCTAACCTCAATAGTTTCTCTATACTACACCTTTATCTTTGATACAAAGACAACTATGTAGCTAGCTAACATTACACTAATCAAATCGTTCCATTGTAATGTTATGTGTGTCATATTACATGCGGAGCGAAGTACAGCATGACTACTCACTCCAACTCTTCCATTCCGAAACCTGAAGCCCCCTGTCCCCAGCAGGAAATACCAGGAAAAAGTGTTGGCTTAAGGTACAACTTCCTATTGAGGAAATGTAAGATAACTCCATTTTATATTTAGATTTAGAGTTACTGACATCAATAGAAGCATGCACAAGCAATCTATCCAATGTATTTTATAAAGCCCCTTTTATATCAGCAGTTGTCACAAAGTGCTTATACATATACCCAGCCTAAAACCCCAAAGAGCAAGCAATGCAGACGTAGAAGCACAGTGGCTAGGAAAAACTCCCTAGAAAGGCAGGAACCTAGGAAGAAACCTAGAGAGGAACCAGGCTCTGAGGGGTGACCAGTCCTCTTCTGGCTGTGCTGATGGAGATGATAAAAGAGTACAGCCATTTAGGCCAGATCGTTCTTCAAGACGTTTAAACGTGGTCCTCTGTAGCTCAGCTGGTAGAGCATGGCGCTTGTAACGCCAAGGTAGTGGGTTCGATCCCCGGGACCACCCATACACAAAAAAAAATGTATGCACGCATGACTGTAAGTCGCTTTGGATAAAAGCGTCTGCTAAATGGCATATTATATATTATTATATAATCACAGTGGTTATAGAAGGTGAACTAATTCAGCACCTCAGGAGTAAATGCCAGTTGGCTCTTCATAGCATTTAGAGGTTGAGACAGCAGGTCCGGTAGAGAGAGGCAGGATCAAACAGCAGGTCTGGGACAAGGTAGCACTTCCGGTGAGTCCTGAGCAGGTCCTGAGCAGGTCAGGGTTCCATAGCCGCAGACAGAAACAGACTGGATCAGCAGCGCGACCAGGTGGACTGGGGACAGGGATAGCCAGGAGTCATCAGGCCACGTGGTCCTAGGGCTCAGGTCCTGCATCCTTTATTTAATTTGTGCAGACTAAGCCCTAGCTAATCACTGAATGTCCTACTACAAGGATGTGGTCAGGTTGATACACTTCTGAGTCACACCACAGATTGCGAGGGCAAGTACAATGAGCAGTTTGGAAAATGGTTGCCCCACACACACACACACACACACACACACACACACACACACACACTTAATTTAAGTTGGTGTGCAGTCAAGGCTTTGTCATTAAAATAATATAGTGTCTATCTTTCAGATCTGCCAACCAGGCTCGGTGGGTGACAGGTAACCGTGTTTCCACCAAGCTGTTCCAGGCCTGGAGTGGCACTCTGGAACTTCCAGAGGCTTGTAGACCTGAAGCAGTGTGATATGGTCCAGGTAATTATCAAACACATGTATACACACTCACTCAATCACTCACTCTGTTTTGTTGTATAATTGTTTTCACTTAAGAAAATTGTTCCTCTCTCTTTTAGATCTGACACCCCTATTAGCTCAACCACAGTCCTCACAGCTGCAGTCGTCTGCCCCTGCACCTGCTACACTGGCCACGACAGGTGATACAGGTAATTATCACATGCATGTATACACACATGCATACTCTCCCTCACTTAGGGCTCTATTCAATCACATCCTCTTTAGCCAACATCCGCATAGCGGTTGTTTTGGCGGTGTCTGAGATGGAACTGTGTTAGAGCTGTCAAATTCACAAGTGGCTCCTGGCATTATACCTAAAGCGGACATTGCCATTGGCTGAACAGAGTCGCATTAACATAAATCTTTATTCAGCCCTGTTTACAAGTTAGAACACTGACATTTGAGATCTAATCTACAGTCGTGGTAATTTTCACAAAGTCTGCTGCCTCAGTTTTGATGAGTGATCAGACGAATTTGCCATGAAAATGAAAGTAATCCCCCAAAAAACATTTCCACTGCATTTCAGCCCTGCCACAAAAGGACCAGCTGCCATCATGTCAGTGATTCTCTCGTTAACACAGGTGAGAGTGTTGACGAGGACAAGGCTGGAGATCACTCTGTCATGCTGATTGAATTAGAATAACAGACTGGAAGCTTTAAAAGGAGAGTGGTGCTTGAAATCATTGTTCTTCCTCTGTTAACCATTGTTACAGTACAGTTACACCTCAGACACCGTTACCTGCAAGGAAACACGTGCCGTCATCATTGTTTTGCACAAAAAGGGCTTCACAGGCAAGGATATTGCTGCTTGTAAGATTGCACCTAAATCAACCATTTATCGGATCATCAAGAACTTCAAGGAGAGAGGTTCAATTGTTGTGAAGAAGGCTTCAGGGCGCCCAAGAAAGTCCAGCAAGCGCCAGGACTGTCTCCTAAAGTTGATTCAGCAGCGGGATCAGGGCACCACCAGTGCAGAGCTTGCTCAGGAATGGCAGCAGGCAGGTGTGAGTGCATCTGCACGCACAGTGAGGCAAAGACTTTTGGAGGATGGCCTGGTGTCAAGAAGGGCAGCAAAGAAGCCACTTCTCTCCAGGAAAAACATCAGGGACAGACTGATATTCTGCAAAAGGTACAGGGATTGGACTGCTGAGGACTGGGGTAAAGTCATTTTCTCTGATGAATCCCCTTTCCGATTGTTTGGGGCATCCGGAAAAAAGCTTGTCCGGAGAAGACAAAGTGAGCGCTACCATCAGTCCTGTGTCATGCCAACAGTAAAGCATCCTGAGACCATTCATGTGTGGGGTTGCTTCTCAGCCAAGGGAGTGGGCTCACTCAAAATTTTGCCTAAGAACACAGCCATGAATAAAGAATGGTACCAACACATCCTCAGAGAGCAACATCTCCCAACCATCCAAGAACAGTTTGGTGATGACCAATGCCTTTTCCAGCATGATGGAGCACCTTGCCATAAGGCAAAAGAGATAACTAAGTGGCTCAGGGAACAAAACACATGGCCAGGAAACTCCCCAGACCTTAATCCCATTGAGAACTTGTGGTCGATCCTCAAGAGGCGGGTGGACAAACAAAAACCCACAAATTCGGACAAACTCCAATCATTGATTATGCAAGAATGGGCTGTCATCAGTCAGGATGTGGCCCAGAAGTTAATTGACAGCATGCCAGGGCGGATTGCAGAGGTCTTGAAAAAGAAGGGTCAACACTGCAAATATTGACTCTTTGCATAAACTTAATGTAATTGTTAATAAAAGTATTTGACACTTATGGAATGCTTCTAATTATACTTCAGTATACCATAGTAACATCTGACAAAAATACAGTGAGGGAAAAAAGTATTTGATCCCCTGCTGATTGACCCCTCTGTGATTGCCAACAAGGGTTTTGCCACCAAGTACTAAGTCATGTTTTGCAGAGGGGTCAAATACTTATTTCCCTCATTAAAATGCAAATCAATTTATAACATTTTTGACATGTGTTTTTCTGGATTTTTTTGTTGTTATTCTGTCTCTCACTGTTCAAATAAACCTACCATTACAATTATAGACTGATCATTTCTTTGTCAGTGGGCAAACGTACAAAATCAGCAGGGGATCAAATACTTTTTTCCCTCACTGTATCTCATAACACTGAAGCAGCGAACTTTGTGAAGACCAATACTTGTGTCATTCTCAAAACTTTTGACCACGACTGTACACCTCGATTAGGCTGAGGTGTACAGTCATTATTTCTATATAACCTACACTTTCTCGTTCTGAGCTTGTAATGCGAGTAGGGCGGGTGTAGTTTCTTGACAATGATCCAACACAGTTACACCTCAGACACCGTCAAAACATCAGCAATGCGGGTGTCGGCTATCGCCGGTTAACGCTTAATCTGATTGAATCTAGGCCTTACACTCATTCAGACTGTTTTGTTGTATGATTATTGTCAGTTAAGAAAATTGTGCCTCTCTTTTAGATCTGCCACCCCCAGCAGTTCAGCTGCAGTCACAGTAGTCCTCTGCTGTGGTATTTATTAGTACTGTATTTAATTTACTGGCTGCACCAGTTCCTACTACACTGGCCATTAAAGGAGAAACTTTTGAGGATTCCCAAATGGATACAGGTCATTCAGAATGATATTACATACACATACGCTCACTCACACCAACAGAACACAAACATGTTGTTGAACTGTATACTTATTGTCACTTTGTGCATCACTCTTTCAGATCTGCCATGCATTCCACCACTGCCCCTGACAGCCTCGCCCAGAAGTGCATACACTGGGCATATCAAGACTGACAAAGCAGTGATGGGTGGAAAAATAAAACACAACATTCACACACACTCTCTCTCTCTGTCACACACACATTATCCCCAATGTAAATAAATTGTAATTACTTAATTACTTTATTTTATTTTAGGATTGGAGATACAGTGAGGGGAAAAAAGTATTTGATCCCCTGCTGATTTTGTATGTTTGCCCACTGACAAAGAAATGATCAGTCTATACTTTTAATGGTAGGTTTATTTGAACAGTGAGAGACAGAATAACAACAAAAAAATCCAGAAAAACGCATGTCAAAAATGTTAGAAATTGATTTGCATTTTAATGAGGGAAATAAGTATTTGACCCCCTCTCAATCAGAAAGATTTCTGGCTCCCAGGTGTCTTTTATACAGGTAACGAGCTGAGATTAGGAGCACACTCTTAAAGGGAGTGCTCCTAATCTCAGCTTGTTACCTGTATAAAAGACACCTGTCCACAGAACCAATCAATCAATCAGATTCCAAACTCTCCACCATGGCCAAGACCAAAGAGCTCTCCAAGGATGTCAGGGACAAGATTGTAGACCTACACAAGGCTGGAATGGGCAACAAGACCATCGCCAAGCAGCTTGGTGAGAAGGTGACAACAGTTGGTGCGATTATTTGCAAATGGAAGAAACACAAAAGAACTGTCAATCTCCCTCGGCCTCGGGCTCCATGCAAGATCTCACCTCGTGGAGTTGCAATGATCATGAGAACGGTGAGGAATCAGCCCAGAACTACACAGGAGGATATTGTCAATGATCTCAAGGCAGCTGGGACCATAGTCACCAAGAAAACAATTGGTAACACACTACGCCGTGAAGGACTGAAATCCTGCAGCGCCCGCAAGGTCCCCCTGCTCAAGAAAGCACATATACAGGGCCGTCTGAAGTGTGCCAATGAACATCTGAATGATTCAGAGGAGAACTGGGTGAAAGTGTTGTGGTCAGATGAGACCAAAATCGAGCTCTTTGGCATCAACTCAACTCGCCGTGTTTGGAGGAGGAGGAATGCTGCCTATGACCCCAAGAACACCGTCCCCACTGTCAAACATGGAGGTGGAAACATTATGCTTTGGGGGTGTTTTTCTGCTAAGGGGACAGGACAACTTCACCGCATCAAAGGGACGATGGACGGGGCCATGTACCTTCAAATCTTGGGTGAGAACCTCCTTCCCTCAGCCAGGGCATTGAAAATGGGTCATGGATGGGTATTCCAGCATGACAATTACCCAAAACACACAGCCAAGGCAACAAAGGAGTGGCTCAAGAAAAAGCACATTAAGGTCCTGGAGTGGCCTAGCCAGTCTCCAGACCTTAATCCCATAGAAAATCTGTGGAGGGAGCTGAAGGTTCGAGTTGCCAAACGTCAGCCTTGAAACCTTAATGACTTGGAGAAGATCTGCAAAGAGGAGTGGGACAAAATCCCTCCTGAGATGTGTGCAAACCTGGTGGCCAACTACAAGAAACGTCTGACCTCTGTGATTGCCAACAAGGGTTTTGCCACCAAGTACTAAGTCATGTTTTGAAGAGGGGTCAAATACTTATTTCCCTCATTAAAATGCAAATCAATTTAAAACATTTTTGACATGCGTTTTTCTGGATTTTTTGTTTTGTTATTCTGTCTCTCACTGTTCAAATAAACCTACCATTAAAATTATAGACTGATCATGTCTTTGTCAGTGGGCAAACGTACAAAATCAGCAGGGGATCAAATACTTTTTTCCCTCACTGTATCTACGTCTACATATCCATTATCAATATCTACATGATTACTCTAAATATCTATCCAATCAAAGTGTGATTGATAATATTGTGAGAGTATTGCTTAATTTGTAGTTTGAGGAAATTCTGAAAAACATGCCTCCCTCTCACGCTCTCTCTCACTCACACACACACACACACACACACACACACACACACACACACACACACACACACACACACACACACACACAATACCCAATGTAAATACATTGTTTATTTTCTGTATGTTCCATGTTATTTGAGGAGAAGTGTGCAATAAAGTACATTCACAGTTAAAGCAACAGTTTGGTATATTGGATATTTCTCTGATTAAAATGAATGACCAAAAGGAAGTCGGCAGACCTGCAACCCTCTGGGAGTGTGTGCAGGTTTTGTCATCTGGAGCTGAAACAGGGCTCCAACAGCCCTCATGTGTACAGGGTTCCCATGAGTGGCAGGTTTATTGTCTTGCAAAAGTATTTTTAATGTACCAAGGCCATTCCCTGGCTACCCATCCACATCGCTCAGGCCAAACTGAAATTTGTTCTCCACAATGACTGCATGTAAAAGACAGGGTGAGTCATCAGGCAACCAAGGCCAAGGAATGGAGAGAGAAATGACCTGGAGGGAGTTCCAGACCTCAGCTTTTTATGAAGCAGAAAAACACAGATGGGTGGCTATCAAGAAAAAATAATTACTCTCTCTCTCACTCACACACATATTAGTATGTAAATACATTGTAATTACTTGTTTATTTTATATGTATGCTCCATTTTATTTTAGCATTGGAGATATTTAGGCCTACAGATTGTGTTATCCATTTCCCACAACAGACATGTGCTGTTGTGCTTACTCACAGTTGGTGGAGAGGGCATGGTTAGGAGAGATGGTGGCTGACAAGAAAAAATACAAAACATGCACACACACTCTCGCTCTCCCACAAACACAATAGTATGTGAATATGTAAATCAATTGTAATTACTTGTTTATTTTATGTATGCTCCATTTCATTTTATATGTGGATAGTTTGTGGGGAAGTTCTGTGCTTTTGTCTGAGTTACAAAACTTGACTCTCTCATACCCACATTAGACCTAATGTAAATACATTGTAATAACTTGTATATTTTATGTATGCTCCATTTTATTTGAGGAAAATGTCTGCAATAAAGTACATTCACAGTTAAAGCAATGTCTTTGGTTTATTGGATATTTCTCCAAATAAAAGGTGTGACCAAAAGGAAGTCGGCAGCCCTGCAACCCTCTGGGAGTGTGCAGGTTTTGTCATCTGGAGCTGAAACATGGAAAGATGGGGAGAGAGGGGAGGAAGAGTGCAGTTTAAAGGTTTATCATTAATAACTGACACAATTCTATAATGAATACATATTAGAATAATACATAAAAGAGTGACCAATAGTTACTGTATTGTGATTGTTTAGTGTTTTAATTACTCAACAAGTAGTGCCCCAAGGTGGAATCGAATCATGTCTCAAAAGCAGTAGAAAAGGTCAAATAAGGTCACCAAAATGTCCGTTACGGCTATACACGTCAGGCTCCCATGAATCAGAGGCAGGTGCTTACGCCAATCCGCCATCCCTATCCACAACGCCCTAGCAAAACCGAAACCTACTAGAAAGTAACAGCGCCTACTGTTGCCCCAAATGGCCGGTTTCAGAGCAGCATAGACTAAGAGAATAGAATAGAATAGAATACAGTATATACATATGAGATGAATAATATGTAAACATTATTCAAGTGACTAGTGTTCCGTTACTAAAGTGGCCAGTGATTTCAAGTCTATGTATATAGGCAGCAGCCTCTAATGTGCTAGTGATGACAATGGTCAATACATATGCATGTCAATACAATGTTCAGTTCAATTACCCGTAGAATGATATCAATATATTGCACAATACTACACACTCACCCAGATACATCTTGATATTGGGGAACTACAAGCCTTTAAAATGAATTGGTCATTCTCTGACTAAAATATCCTGTCATGTTTGAACATAACAAGTAATTCCAAGAAATCATCATACAACTGTTTGTGTCATTTGCTGTTTGTACCTATTCCACATTTCACAACTACAAACACATTTCACGTATTCCTATTTCGCAACTGTTTGATCCACAATATTGCATTACAGACCCAGTCTGCCTCCTGTTGGATATATTTAGCACTATTTGACAGAACAATCACTTTGCATTGTAGAGTGATGGGGACACCTGCTGGTGACAGAAAACATGTGGACTGCTGATGTCCTTGATTGATTTGATTCCAATAAAGCAGTGTTTCTTAATCCTGGTCCTGGGGACCCAAAGCGGTGCACATTTCAGTTTTTGCCTTAGCACTACACACCTGATTCCAATCATCAAAGATGATGATGAGTTGATAATTTGAATCAGCTGTGTAGTGCTAGAGCAAAAACAAAAATCTGCACCCCTTTGGGTCCCCAGGACCAGGATTAAGAAACACTGCTATAAAGGCGTCACATCCGAAACAGTTCTTGCATATGTTATGACGACATTTTGTGACGTTGTTGTTCGTTTTAGTCTTCGGTAAAGGTTTTTTAGGCTATTCTTGCACACATTTTTTCCTGAGGCAAGCGGAAGTTCGGTGGCCGAAGTCTACACCCTTTCGCTCGCTAGCTTGTGGTCACAGATAGAACAAGAACAATGAGCTAGCTAACAATGGTTTAGTCACAGATAGAACAATGAGACAGATATTTCACCGGATGTATAAATGTGAAGCATCCACTTAGCGTTTCCACTCACTACCAAAATATGGTAGTGAGAGGAAGCCCACTGGCCGGCAGTGGGAGAAGATGGAACAAGATGGATTTTGGCCGACATTCTGCACATTTTCTCAATACAGTTTTCTGTTCCCAAAACTAGAATCTGTTATGAACTTTACCCTTTGCAACAAAAAAATAATAATCGCGTTGTTTAGAAGGAGTGCAAAGGCGAATTGAGTTATTGCACACGTGCACTTCACAAAGGAAGCGTTCCCTAACGGAAATATGCAGTATTCAATATGTATTCTAGAACACGCTAATAGGATCTCGCTA